GGTATGCTAAAGTTGTCTCAGAGGCTCCTTGTCCTATCCTCATTTTTTTAAATTCTTTTTCCTTTTTCTGTTCTGATTGGGTATGTTTGTCTTTCTTATTTTCCTAATTGCTGATTTGATCCTCTGCTTCATCTACTCCAGTTAGTTACCTTTAATATATTCTCCATTTTATTTAATGTATCCTTTATTTCTGATTGGTCCTTTTTTATGTTTTCTATCTTTACTTTTATGTTTCCTGTCTCTTTGTTGAAATTCTCACCAAGTTCATCTACTCTTCCTCTAACCAGTGTTTTGAACTTTACATCTGGTAGATTGCTTGTCTCCATTTTGTTTAGTTCTTTTCCTGGAGTTTTGTTTTGTTCTTTTATTTGAGACATGTTTCTTTGTCTTTTCCTTTTGACTGAGTTCCTTTTTTTGTTTCAATGTGTTCAGTAAAGCTGCTACACCTCTCAGTCTTGGTAGAGTAGACTTATGTAGTAGGTGTCCTATAGGGCCCAGTGGCTTAGCCTACCTAGTCACCCAAGCTGGGTGCTCCAGGTGTGCCCCTGTGTGGACTGTCTGCACCTTTTTGTTGTAGTTGAGCTTTGATTGCTATTGGCACATTGATAGGAGGGATTGACCAGGCCAGTTGGATGCAAGGACTGGTTGTGTGCAGGATCTGCTGTTCTGGGGCCAACCTCACAGAGCAGAGCTCACTTCAGCAGGGCTCAGGTACCTGCCAGTTCACCCCTTGAGTGTGTTGATGATGGATGTGGTTCTGTGGTGCTTCAGTGTGGTTTGAATCTACCAACGGGGTGCAGTGACTCTGGGGTCTATTGGGAGGTGCAGGCCAATGTTAACTGCCATCTGTGCCCTGCCCGGGGCCACCTGGTATGAGGTACAAAGCAATTTGTAGCTGGCTGTTGCATATGTTGGGCTTGGAGGCGCACAGTGTAGGCCAATCTGTAAACCAAGGTTGGCTGCTGTTAGTGCTGGACCTGGGGCCACTTATCGAAGGGTACATGGTACACAGAGGCCAGATGCTACTTGTTTGAAACATTTTAGGAAAGTCAGCATCATGCGCCAAGAGAGGCCATTAGTATGGAATAGCCATTGGAACAGGTTTGTATGGGCCTGCAAATTGGGTCAGATAGGGCCTCAGGGAATTTCCAGGGTGGGATGAATAGTATAAGCTAGGTAGATGGAGACTTAGATTTGCTACCCACCTGCCCACTCATTTGAGGGAGGGTCTAAGAAGAGGAACAATGGCCTCTATCAATGCTTCTGTCTGGGAGACAGCTGCCCCTCCAGCCCTCCTCCTGAAGCCTGACAATTCAATTCCTTCCCATGTGTCCCAGATGCCTTTCAAGCTGCTGCGCCAGTGCTAAAGCTCAGAATGAGTATGTCTGTGCACAGGGATCCCAGGAGCCTCCGTCTCACTCAGCCATAATCCCCACTGGTTTTCACATCCAAAAATTATGGAGACTTCTCTTCCTGGCCCTGGAATCCTGGGCTGAGGGTTCTGCTGTGGGGCTGAGACTCTTTGCTCCTCAGGAGGGATCTCCATAGCCAAAATATCCCTCCCTATTTCACCACCACCCATGGATGTGGGACCAGCCCTTTCCATGTCTCTGCCCCTCCTAATCTTGATGTGGCTTCTTCTTTATATCCTTAGTTACTAGGACTTCTGTTTAGCTAGATTTAAGGCATTTCTCAGTGATGATTGTTCTGTAGTTTAGTTGTAATTTTGAGGTGGTTGTGGGAGGTTCCAATTACTGTGTTTACCTATACTGCCATTTTGATCAGAAGCCTCAAATAGTGAAACCTGACCTTCTTTGAGGACTCTTCTCTTTTTTTTAATCCTTACCCAAAGATACATTTATTGATTTTAAGGAGGGTGGGGAGAGACATTGATGTAAGACAGAAACACTGATCAGTTGCCTCCCCTATGTGCCCCAACAGAGGAATATACCCACAACCCAGGCATGCACCCGGACCAGGAATCAAATCTGTGACCTTTCTGTACATGGGATGACACTCCAACCAACCAAGCCACTCCAGCCAGGATGAGGGAGGATTCTTTTTTTATTTTAATTTTTAATAAACAAGTTAGATGAGCTCCTGAGAGCACTTTGCTTATGATTCAGTCATTTTTTGCAGTCTTGATATATGACTTTTGAAGTCATTCTGACCTTGGTGCAAACATGGCTTTGCCATGTGTGATTTTAGTTAGTACTTTAAATCCTTTTAGGGCAAGAACTGTGTCTTATGTGTTTGATCTATATTATTAGTTCTAACTTAATGCCTAATACATTATAGGGATTTAGTATATGTATCTTGCAAAAAATGAAGTTAATTAGTCTGAGTCTTGGCTTTTTTTTTTTTTCATTTATAATACAGGGATTAATAGTCCCTTTTAGGCCTTGCTATGATAACTTTTTAAATAATACAGTAGATCCTTGAATAATTTTTTTTCAACATTGTTTCATTATAACATTGGTGAAATGCTATAGGAATTTAACTCATGTTTATATCAATTAGCCTGTGGTAAAATTGGTTCCTGATACATTGTTTCATTTAAAGTCACAGAACCTAACAACAGTGTTAAGGGAGGACCTGAGGTAGCATAGGAACTTGAGTCCGGGATTTGAAAATACCAGGTGGCCACAAAGCCAAGTTAAGACCAGGTAGCCTGAAGGAGCACAGGCAAAAATGTCATCACCTCTGCACTCCCTACTCAGAAATGCAGAGGTAGCTGATTTTATCTCCCTTCTAGCTTCCTGCTCATCCTACTGACCAGCATGTGCAGTTGAATATGACCTTAGGGTGGCAGTAATGAGCAATCCGGCAGGTGTACAAACATAGTTTATCAGGCAACACATCTGGAAAAGGAAGTCACCTGACCCTGAAATGAAAAATTCTGAAAGCCCACTTTTTTTCAAAAAGCTCACCAGCTCACCTTTTCGAGCAAGCCTGCTTTGTCCTCAGCTTATAAAAGCAGCCAAACAGAGCCAACCCCAGAGCCAATTCAGAGGACCTTCCTTCCTTTATGCTGTCTCCCTTGTGCTCGAGCATAAGCTTAATAAAATCTGGCTGGAAACTTCTCTGGGGTTTCCTCTCGATTTCTGTTTTGGGGAACCTAAGAACACCAATGCCTGGTAATAGACATAATAATCAAAATAATTTTAGGACTGTATAAATGTCACAACTCCTTAACTGTTAAGGACTTGACATTCTGTCCTTTGAAGGGAATTGTGAGGCTGATGTGCCCCCGGTGAAAATGGGTTTGACACCCCTGACCTACAAAGCTGTAAATTAGAGGTTCCCATAACCCCCTCCTTGGGTTTGATTAATTTACTAAAGCAGTTCATGGAACTCAGAAACATTTTACTTAGTAGGTTACCAGTTTATTATAAAAGGATATAACTCTAGAACAGCCAGATGGAAGAGGTACATAGGGCAAGGTATAGAGAAAGGGTACAGATCTTTCATGCCCTCTCCCAGCACACCATTCTCTCTGAATCTTCATGTATTCACCAAACCAGAAGCTATCTGAACCTGTCCTTTGGAATTTTTATAGATGCTTCATCACATAAGCATGATTAATTAAATCATTGACCATTGGTGATTGAACTCAGAGTCTAATTCCTCTCTCCTCCCAGAGGACAGTGGTGGGACTAAAACTTCCAACGCTCTAATCACATAATTAGTTCATCTGGTGACCAGTCCTCCTCCCCAATTTTTAGGTGCTTTCCAGAAGTCACCCTATTAACATAAAATCATAAAATCAGTTGTGGTTGGAAGGGGCTTATTATGAATAATGAGGTACCCCTTTCACTTTTATGAGTTTGAAGGCATTTCAGGTACCAACGACAAGAGACCTAATATTATAACAAAAGATGCTTCCATTGCTCTTATCAGTTAGGAAATAACAATGGTTTTGAAAGCTGTGAGCCAGGAACTATGAACCAAAATATATATTTATTATAAATCATAATATCACAGTGATATTTTCCATCCTTGAGTTTTATTTAACCTCATAGAAACTTGTATGTCATCTTTATTTTTTATTTTTTAAAAGTTAAAACTTTATTTAAAATTAAAAAGGTTTACAAATTTTCTCTGCAGCTATTAAATATTCTGATGGCTTCAAGACGAGGGAAAAGAATATAATTATTGTTTGAAATGAACTATTTAACTGCAGAAGGATTCTACAACTTTATAGAATGTTTCATTGAGTTAATTTTGTTATAAGTACAGTACCAAAGTGATTTTAAATGAAATATATTAGTATTCTCCTATGAGCATACTAATATGTGATACTGTCGTGTGAAGAGTTGGCTTTTCTTCATTACAGATCGACATCAGTATCCATGTTGTGAGCACATGAATGACTGTTGTTTTGCTTATAGTTACTATATAGTTTTCATAATTTTCCTCCACTCTTCAGTTCTGGTATCTCAGTTTTATTGATCTTTTGCTGCAGAAATGGTTCCCATGTCTCTGTCAGTTCTGTAGAATTTTTGAAGGAGACGATATGCATGATATTGTTGTAGCATTAGTTGAGGTGTAAGGTAACCTCACATAGCTCTGTCGGCAGAGACAGGGTTTCCTCACACGTTAGCACGTGTGTGTGTCATGCCCTTTCAATCTCTGGAATAAGAAGTGATCATTGGAAGGGAACAATTGTGAGTAGAATAAGATGTTTTTTGTGTTGGTTTTTTTTAAAATAAGTTGTAGGCTTATGCTAGTTTCAGAAATAACTGTATGGCTAGAAGGACTTAATACCCAAACTAGAGTCAGAACTCACAATGCTTACATTCATTACTCCTAGGAGCCAAAATAATAACCCAATACACAACACTCTTATCTGAGTGCAGAGAGCATAGGTAACATCTTCTGAGGACTTGTAGGCTTGTGCTTCTAAACCCTATGGGAATGCTTAGAATTACAATTGATGTTCCTTACCCTGAAAGGACCTTTGTAATTTCTGATGAAGAGTTGGCTTTTCTTCATTTCAGATCGACATCAGTAAATGCCATTATTTAGTGGATTTGGACATCATGAGAGAAACACCCCGGGAGCCAAAATATGCATCCAATAGAGAAGAATGGATCAGCTTGGCCTACAGACCATTCCTTGATGCTTCCAGGTATGTGTCCTTAATCCTAAGAGATGTACAATGATTAGTAAGGATGGAAATTAGAAACTAGGATCGAAAAACTTCTAGTCCCAAGCTGACACTAGTAGCCATCATTTTATTTTATTTTCATTTGGATCAAAGCACATCTATCCTTGTCCAGTTTCCTGAGAAATCTAAAAGAGTGCTTTCTTTTTTTAGGCACCAGAATAATACAGAGTATATTCTGTATTATTATAATACAGAGTATTATTCTTCTGTATTATTAATACAGAGTATATTCTGGTATAATCCAAATAAAAAAATCTAAGTAAAACAGGTAGATCAATTGAAAAAAATACAAATAAGTGTTTGACATTGATTCTTTTTGACAACAACTTTAGCTTAATTTTATCTAAGGGTATTCTAACACAGGAAGATTGACTATGTCATTTAAGGAGCTAGAAATTCATACCCATTGTTTTTAGTCACAAGATTTAGTCAGGGATGGGATAGGCTTTACTAGATCTTACATAGAGAGACTAAATAGACCAGTGCTTGCTGGCTCTTCAGAAAAGTCTCAGAATTAACGATGAGAGGGCAGTCAGATGAAGGAGTAATGGTGGGAGCAGGGGGTGGTGGGGAGTGAGCTGAAAGAGTCAGGTTGTCTGGGCAGAGGTCCAGATAAACAGACAGTTGAAGTTAAGGAGGTTTGGTGGGGCCTGGTGGGCAGTGCCCAGGATCCAAGAGGTCAGAGAGCAAAAGGTAGAGGAGCGGGTCTTAAGAGGCAGGTCTAGGACTTAAAAACAGGGAAGAAAATGTTTTTGGAGGAGAAGATTATCAGAAGCTACTGATAAATCAAGTACAGTGAAAAATAACTACTGTTCATTGGATTTGGCAGCTGATAAAAGCAATTTTGGTGGAGTAGTGGGGCAGGAGGACTTGAGAAATTAGAGAGGTCAAAGCACAAACACAAGGACAAGAATTGAAGAAGGCAAAACCACATAGGTCGTTTAGAAAGTTTTGCTATAAAGGGAAACAAAGAAATAGGGCCATAGCTGGTGGTGGGTACAGGGAATTGATTCCTTCAAAAGATTTTTATCCTTAGGGCATAATCCTAGCAGGATTTGCCAGGTCAAATTTACAATAGCCAAGTGTTGGAAGCAACCTAAGTGTCCAACAGTAATTCAAGGGATCCAAAAACTATGGTACATTTATACAATGGAATACTACACAACAGAAAGGAGTTTCTAGCCATTACGACAACATGAATGGAACTGGAGAGCGTTATGCTAAGTGAAATAAGCCAGGTGGGAGAAGGAAGATGGCAGCTTTGCTCTAGGCAGCATTTTTCTCGGTTTCTGTGAAGAGGAGGGAAACTCACGGATCGGTGGAGAGGCAGAGCAAGTGGACTGGGTTACTGAATCACTTTTGAAAGCAGGACATCGGGGATTATTGTGATCACTGGAAAACCAGACGGTAGGGAGACTACTTCGGGACAAAAGGGACCCGGGGATCAGCGCAGGGTCTGGGGGTGTGCAGTCCCCAGGCCCTGTGCTCCAGGATCTGCCTCAGGGCTCCCAGGAGAGGGGAGTTGCTGCTCCCTCCACCAAATACGGGGATTGAGCAACTCCAGGGGAGAACGTGTTCCTTGAAGGAACAGATTGGCCGGTTGGACTGGGAAAAAATCGCCCATGGACTATGAACACCCATCCAGAGACCTGGGAGTAGTGAGGGCCCCCAGCCAACACGACTGCCCCTGGTCGGGAAAGGCACCAACACCCCTGGCCCGGTTGGGGTGCGGATCGGTGGAAAACAAAGAGCTGGGAAGGACTCCACTCGAGCCCCATCTGGAGGCCTGACTCGCGCGCTGTGAACCCAGGGGGCTCGCGCACTCCATTGAGAAGCCTGACCCGCGCTCGTTGTGAACTCGGTGGGGGGGGGGGGGGGGGGCGGGTGTCGCGCACTCCATCGGGAAGGCTGACCTGCCCTCCCTGTGAACTCGGGAGGGTCGCGCACTCCATCGGGAGGCCTGACTCACACGCGTGCTGTGAACCCAGAAGGGTCGCGCACTCCATCAGGGAGCCTGTCTTGCGCTCGCTGTGAACTCGGAAGAGCCGCGGCGTGGCGTTTAGGGTGATCCTAGAGCCCGAATCTCAAAAGTTTGGTGGAGGGGCACACACTTTTACGATTCCCAGGGAGGGCACAGTGAATCCCAAAATATCTCAGGTGCCTTCTGAGATCATAGAGCTGGAACCCTGTAGGACCCCGGAGTCCTGGAAGAACGCGGCAGTGAGCTCTAGAGAGCGAGTATGCTTGGGAGCACCCAGGGTACCTGACAGTCTTGCTGAGATCTGACTGGAAGAGAGAGAAGCATTTCAAAGGTCCCTCAGCCAGCTGAAGCCAGCAAGATCAGGAAAACTGGTCTGGCCAGTTAGAAACCAACAAGAGGTTTTTCTTATTTTGTTTTGTTTGGTTTGGCTTGGTTTGGTTTGGTTTTTGTGGCTGTTGTTGGTTGATTGATTTTATCTTGTGTTTTATGTGACATTTTATTTTTCAATTCCTATTATTTTTATACCTCGCAATCCCTTATGTTTCTCTTCCATTCATCCTAATATTATTCTTTCCACTCCAAATTTATCTCTCCTGCACTACATCTTCTGCTTTTCTTTCCTTTCTTTATTTCAATCTTGCAAGTTACTGTAAATTTGTATTATATTTTTCTCACTTTTCCGACATTTTTTATTTTAATAGTATTTTGGTATTCTTTTTCTTTCTGTATAATCTTCTTTGCTTGGCTGGTTATACTGTCATTTGATAGGTTCCCCCTGATATCTCAGTCACAATGTGTTGATAATTTACTATTCTTCATCTGTGTTCCATTAGTACACCTCTCAAGGTTCTATACTCTTTATTCTTGTTATCTAGATCTCATCAATTCTGCCAAGAGACTGTCACTATACTATTACTGTTAATAAGACCTAGTTCATACAATTGTAAGTACTACTCAATACCCCTACCTGATCTCAGCCCACCTTGCAATTTTCTGAACTATACTCTTGTGGGGGTTGTCTCTATTCTTTTACACACTACTCCTATATACTAATCTTTACTCCAATCTTACCTTAGAATCTGACCTCCCACAGCCTCACACCTTCTAGATACAACTAACAATCCTCTCGTCCCCAGTAAGAGTCTTACCCTCTTTCCATCCTTTCTAAAACGTGGATACTGGGGTGGAGGATCACGGTTAACACTATTAGGAGCAAAAGGATAACCCATCCCTCCTCTACTGGCTGCTAATGGAAATATCATAGTAGATTGTATTGCTGTCTTAAACCATTTCACTTTACTCCTCCAACTCATCACAAAAAAAGAGTAGGGGGAAGCTGTGAACACTAGGATACACGAAGGAGATTGCACCACTGAATCTCACAAATATTCTACCACAGAAGTTCACACCATAATTTCAGGGAATCAGAACAGATCAATTTAAGAAACAAGAAGAAAAACGAAGAAACTCATGAACAATGAGAAAACAAAGAAACAACCCTCAATTGAAGGGAAACAAGGAAGCCTCAGGAAAAATTATAAATGAAATAGAGGCAACTCAACTATCTGATAGTGAGTTTAAAACAATGATTACCAGGAAGTTCAATGAACTCACAATGAGCTTTCAGAAATTAGAGGGAAACTACATCAACCTCGCTGCAAACTATATAAACATGAAAAAGGAAATAGAAACTCTCAACAAAGGTCAAGAGGAAATGAAGAATACAATTTCTGAACTGAAGAACACTGTAGAAGGAATGAAAAGCAGGATCAATGAAGCAGAAGATCGGATTAGCGAGCTGGAGGACAAAGTAGAAAACAACATCCAGAAAGAGCAAGAAAAGGAAAAGAGGCTCAGAAAGAATGACGAGGGATTAAGAGAAATGCAAGACAATATGAAATGTAATAATATCCGTATAATAGGGATAGCAGAAGGAGAAGAAGAAGAGCAAGGGATCTAAAACCTAGTTGAACAAGTAATGAAGAGAACTTCCCTAATTTGATGAGAGAAAAAGTCACACAAATCCAGGAAACACAGAGAGTCCCAATCAAGAGGAACCCAAAGAGGCCCACCTCAAGACACATCATAATTAAAATGGCAAAATTTCAAGACAAAGAGAGAATCTTAAAGGCAGCAAGGGAGAAAAAGGAAGTAACATACAAGGGATCCCCAATAAGGCTAGCAGCTGACTTCTCAATGGAAACACTTCAAGCCAGAAGAGAATGACAAGAAATACTCCAGGTAATGAGAACCAGAGGTCTGCAACCAAGGCTACTATATCCAGCAAGGCTCTCAATCAAGATAGAAGGCCAAATAAGAAGCGTCCCAGACAAAAGCTGTCTAAAAGGATACACCTTGACCAAACCAGCTCTGCAAGAGAACCTAAGGGACTGCTTTAAGGAAGGGAAGGAAAAGAGAGAGAGAGAGAGGAACACATGTACATAAAAGACAATGAATAAGTACCTATCAATAATACCCTCAAATGTAAATGGATTAAATGCTCCAATCAAAAGACATAGAATAGCTGAATGGAAAAGAAAACATGACCCACATATCTGCTGTCTACAAGAGACCCACCTCAGGATAAAAGACCTACACAGGCTGAAAGTGAAGGGCTGGAAACAAATCTTTCAAGCAAATGGACAGGGGAAAAAAGCCGGGTTAGCAATACTCATATCAGACAAAATAGACTTCCAAAAAAGGTCCATAAAGAGAGACCCAGAAGGTCACTTCATAATACTCAAGGGAAGAATCCATCAAGAAGAAATAAATATTGTAAATATATATGCACCCAACATAGGAGCACCGAAATACATAAAGAAAATCTTAGAGGACTTCAAGAAACATGTGGACAGCAACACAATTATAGTGGGGGATTTTAACACCCCACTATCAAAAATGGACAGATCTTCTAAACAAAATATTAACAAAGATATTGTGGCATTGAAAAATACCCTTGATGAAATGGACTTACTGATAT